ATATAACACGGGCACGGCAAATCACGAGGGTGCGGCGTGGTCGGCACGATAGGGTGTTAGGCCCGATGTGTTGGTCGTGGGTGGACGATATGCTTCGAGATTGGATGTACGGCTCGCCTCATGCTCTCTTCGAGCACGATTCTGACATTGCTGGCGCTGTTCGGGGACAAGCGCGTCAACGTCTTTCGCCTGAGTATCCGCCCACGAGCGACGGCACCTGGGCCCCTACCAACTGAGTGAGTTCCAAGGTGTACTGCACGCTTTTGAGTTCCAGGTGTGGCATTCACTATCCATATCTCATATAGTTTGCCTCACCAGGTTATTTCTGCGGATTGCATCCGCCCAGGAAGTGACTAATCTCGTTATGACAATTTGACTGGACTACATTAGAATACGGTAATGTATTGCAGCCATGTCCATAACTGCTTGAACAGTGAGCCGGTTTCGCAGCCACATGTACAGGCAGGTGAGGTTTCTGCTAGCCGGTTGCTCGTCTTTCCACCCTCTAATTTCAGCGCGTGTGGCCCATCTCTCCCTTTTGCTCCCTGCCCACATCTCTCCCTCACAAGCCACCCCGCGACGCTGCCCACCCTCCCTTCTCTCTTTCTGCTTTCCTACCCTCACTCCATTCTTTGCCATATGTGTTCTCCCATCCTCCCTTCTCATTTCCCGTGCTCACCTTCTACATGCTATGCTCACCCCTCATCTCCTTTGCCCTCTCCAAAACTCCTTTGCTCGCGCCGTCTATCCCATTCTCTCCCTCCTCGTCTCGCATTCTCTCCCACCCTCTCTCACCCACGCTTGCGTTTCTGCAGCAGCCACGGAATTGATGCAGCCGAGTAGGGCGTTGATGAAGCACCCATAGTTTGGTGGGTTGCTGGAGCTGTGAGCTCACACGGATGTCTGGAGTGTTGGTGATACAGAGATTGTTTGATGACTCTGCACATCCACAGTATCGCTGCTGTGCATGTGGACTTTGTTGCGCTCATATACTTCATTTGGGCACTCTGAGTAGTATTATTCATGATTAGGGGAGGCTTCTCAAATCGCTACCTGATGCATCATATCGCTTTGCATTTATGGTGTTGCAAATCTGCCATAATCTCTCTTGTTGGCCGCCTATGCCTCCCAGCTGCAGTGCTACTCCGTCGCAACCCTCTCTTTGTTCCAAAGCTGTCTCCCTCTCCCCATTCTCATCTCTCCAACCACTAAAACCGGCCCCATACTCCGATCTCCATGGAGGCTCTTGTCTCTGTTCACCGAAGAGGAAGGGCAGTGTGGGACAGGGGGGGATGTGCACGGTGAAGAAGTGTGAAGGGAGATGGGCATTGACGGGGAGTATGGGATGGGGGGAGAGGGTGAGAATGGGTGTAAAGAGAGGGTTGGGGCAGGAGAGGGTGGGCACATAGAAGGCGTACGAAGCGACTTGGGTTGGTATCGCGCCGAGGGCTGGACAGGCAGCGAGAGGGGGATGGGGATGGGCAGGGATAAGGAGTACGATGTGTTTGCGAACTCTGGGCAGAGTGGAGGTTTGGAAGCAAAGGTTCGGGGGATAGGGAGGTTGTGGGCTGGCATGCCAACGACAGCTCTCTCACCCTCCCCTGCAGCTCTCCTCTCTCCCTCCCCTGCAACTTTCCTCTCTCCCAAGCCCCTGCTCACACTCCCTCTCTCCCTCCCCTGCCCTCACTCCTCCCTTCCTCCCCTGCTCGCACTCCTCTCCCCCTCCCCTGCCCTCTCTCCTCTCCCCTTTGCCCACGTTCACTCCTCTCCCCTTCCCCTGCTCTCACTCTTCTCCCTTCCCCTGCTCTCACTTCTCTCCCCCTCCCCTGCTCTCACTCCTCTCCCACTGCACTGCCCTCACTCCTCTCCCCATCCCCTGCTCACACTCCCTCTCTCCCTCCCCTGCCCTCACTCCTCCCTCCCTCCCCTGCTCTCACTCCTCTCCCCCTCCCCCCCTCTCTCCCTTATCCCCTTTCCTCCCGTTCACTCATCTCCCCACCCCTCTCAATCCCTCTCTCCCTCCCCACCTCGCACTCCTCTATCCCTCCCCTTTTCGCAAAGCTCTCCCCCTCCCCTGCTCTCACTCCTCTCCCCATCCCCTGCTCACACTCCCTCTCTCCCTCCCCTGCCCTCACTCCTCCCTCCCTCCCCTGCTCTCACTCCTCTCCCCCTCCCCTGCTCTCTCTCCTATCCCCTTTCCTCCCGTTCACTCATCTCCCCACCCCCCTCAATCCCTCTCTCCCTCCCCACCTCGCACTCCTCTATCCCTCCCCTGTTCGCAAAGCTCTCCCCCTCCCCTGCTGTCACTCCTCTCCCCAGCCCCTGCTCACACTCCCTTTCTCCCTCCCCTGCCCTCACTCCTCCCTTTCTCCCCTGCTCGCACTCCTCTCCCCCTCCCCTGCCCTCTCTCCTCTCCCCTTTGCCCACGTTCACTCCTCTCCCCTTCCCCTGCTCTCACTCTTCTCCCTTCCCCTGCTCTCACTTCTCTCCCCCTCCCCTGCTCTCACTTATCTCCCCCTGCTCTCACTCCTCTCCCACTGCACTGCCCTCACTCCTCTCCCCATCCCCTGCTCTCTCTCTTATCCCCTTTCCTCCCGTTCACTCATCTCCCCACCCCTCTCAATCCCTCTCTCCCTCCCCACCTCGCACTCCTCTATCCCTCCCCTTTTCGCAAAGCTCTCCCCCTCCCCTGCTCTCACTCCTCTCCCCATCCCCTGCTCACACTCCCTCTCTCCCTCCCCTGCCCTCACTCCTCCCTCCCTCCCCTGCTCTCACTCCTCTCCCCTCCCCTGCTCTCACTCCTCTCCCCATCCCCTGCTCACACTCCCTCTCTCCCTCCCATGCCCTCTCTCCTCCCTCCCTCCCCTGCTCGCACTTCTCTCCCCCTACCCTGCTCTCTCTCATCTTCTCTGTCCCAACGTTCACTCCTCTCCCCTTCCCTTGCTCTCACTCTTCTCCCTTCCCCTGCTCTCACACCTCCCCCCCTCACCTGCTCTCACTCCTCTCCAACTGCCCCTGCCCTCACTCCTCTTCCCCTCGCCTGCTTTCACTCCTATCTCCCTCGCCTGCTCGCACTCCTCTCCCTCTCCCCTGCTCTCTCTCCTCTCCCCTTTCTCCACTCTCACCCCTCTCCCCTTCCCTCGCTCTCCCGCCTCTCCCCCTCGCCTGCTCTCACTCGTCTCCCTCACCCCTGCCCTTGCTCTCACCCCTCTCCCCTTTCCCCTTCCGCTGCCCCTGCTCTCCCTCCCGCGCTCACGCTGCTCCCCCCCGCGCGATCACGCCGCTCTCCCTCCCGCGCGATCTCGCCGCTCTTCCCGCGCGCTAACGCCGCTCTCCCTCCCGCGCGCTAACGCCGCTCTCCCTCCCGCGCGCTCACGCCCCTCTCCCTCCCGCGCGCTCACGCCACTCTCCCTCCCGCGCGCTCACTCTCTCCCTCCCGCGCGCGCGCTCCGCTCTCCCTCCGGCGCTCACTCCGCTCTCCCTCCCGCGAGCTCACTCCGCTCTCCCTCCCGCGCTCACTCCGCGCTCCCTCCCGCGTCACTCCGCTCTCCCTCCCGCGCGCTCACTCCCGCTCTCCCTCACCTGCCCTCGCTGCTTCCTCCCTGCTTTCGCCTTAGCCACTGTGTGCTATAGCGTCACTTGGTAGGTTCTGTCGCGTCACTCCGTCCCTGCTGTCGCGTCTCTCCGTCCCTGCTATCGCGTCTCCCCGTCCCTGCTATCGCTTCTCTCCGTCCCTGCTCCCGCGTCACTTCGTCCCTCGGGATGAATTATGCGCGGTTCGCACTGCTTAGCCGGTCGTCGCGGGATATGCGGCATTTTCGCTATCATTCCTTATGGCGGGCAGTTTCGTCTAGGCTTGGCTACGCGCGCGAGAAACCTCGTATGCTGGCTAGTTTCTAGTCACTAGGTCTCGCCTGGGTCCCAATTTACAAAAATTGATAGCAACTTTCCCTTGGCCATTTGAGCTGAGAGAGAGCCAGGGGTTGGGCTGCTTGGGCGAAGGTGTTTGCTTGCCTTTCGACCAATCACGAGCCCCATTTTACAGCCATCGCGTCATTGTTCTGTTTCATCCGGGTGCATGGGGTTACCAACCTTATTGCGCCGCGATATTGCTAGCAAAAAAATCGCGCCTTGCAACTTGGGATCTGGGCTTTAAAGCCCAGGTCCCAAATTAGATCGTGAAAGTCAACGCCCTCTGGTCCAGGCTCGGAGGAGGTTGGGTGGAGGCTCGGTTGCAGGGATTTCTGGCCCATTTTGGCCGCGAAGGAAGGAGTACTCGCGAAACAGGAATACGAAACACCCAGGGGGATTTGAGAGAGTGCGAACTTCGCAAACCAAAATGCAAACCCAATAAAATGTGCCCGCGGGAAAAGGACAAAATCACCTGTGCATCGCCAGCATTCATGCGCGCTAGGGATTGCTGCAACCACCCCTCGCCAGCTCGCGAGCACACCAGCACCAACCACGCTCAGGGCGTGGAACATACGGTTACATAACCAAGTAAGTTCGAACTTTGGCAAGGTGGAGAGCGGTTTGATATGTTGGAAATACATTCTAACAAATATTGAATGGGTAGGGAGAGGTGGACGTCCACACGTGAGAGTTCGGAACTGTATGTCTCACGCCCATATAGAAACAAGCAAGGAGCACCCTCAATAGCCCAGGCGTAACTCAGACTACGCGCGCTTGTCATTGGACAAGATTGGGACAAGAACAGTATCTACCTAGACGCGCCAGACAGATTCCCCCAGCATAAGTAACCTCGCCATATTGGACAATTCCACCTGGCAGGAGCGTGGCTGAGCGGATAAGGTTAGAAAAGACGCCCGGAAAAGCCGCATCGCAAGTGTGTGCGGCTAGTGTGCGGCGCGGCGTGCCGCAATCGCCGGAGGAACAGAAAAGACGCGCGGCCGTGGGCTTAGCCCACCGGAAGAGGGCGGAGGTGGACCCGCGCCCTAGCTGACACAACATCTAATAAAAGCTTGTAAGCATAAATGCGCTATTAGGGAATGGCAGATGGACGCCGACAGGCCGAGGCGAAACACGAAACTGCGGAGAGGGCAAAGAGAAGACAGGAAGACAGAGAGAGAGAGAGAGAGAGAGAGAGAGAGAGAGAGAGAGAGAGAGAGAGAGAGAGAGAGAGAGAGAGAGAGAGAGAGAGAGAGAGAGAATGAGAGAGAGAGAGAGAATGAGAGAGAGAGAGAGAGAGAGAGAGAGAGAGAGAGAGAGAGAGAGAGAGAGAGAGAGAGAGAGAGAGAGAGAAACAGAGATCAAGAAAGAGGGAGAGGTCGGCGGAGAGAGGAAAATAGCAGCGCTATCACAGGGGATAGACAGGCGGATAGGGGGAGAGGGCAAGAAGCACGCTGCGATGGAGGAGGAGGAACAGAGGGAGAGGGCGCAGGGACGGGAGGAGGGTCGCAACTGGTATCCATTTGCCGAAAATATAGCTTGGGGTGGGAGGGTTTGCCACCCTATTTACAGCATTGGTTGGGGGGAATAGCCAGGGTCCTCTGCGCTTGGGTTGAGAGGGATGGCCACGCCACATAGAGCCGATGTTGGGCGGGATAGCACGGGCACACAGGACGTGGGGTGAGAAGGGGAGGAATGGTAAACAGGGTGTGGTTGGGGAAGTGGCGCAAGAGTGGACAGGCTAGTGTACTGCGTTTGTAGGACGCGGGACGAGAAAGGGATCAAGGGTGGGTGAGTTCGGGGTGAGTTTGCGATGCATCAATGGTCAATGGGAGCGGGGTGCGAGGGGGGGCAAGTCTACATACGGACCGGTTGGGGAGGTGGTTAGGGAGTGGACAGCGCGCGGGGTGTGGGGAAGCAAGGCTGGATAGGGCGCGGGGTGAGAAGTGAAGGGATGCTGGATAGGGCGTGGGGTGGGAGGGGGAGCAAGGATAGATAGGGCGTGGGATGAGAAGGGACGCAAGGCTGGATATGGCGTGGGGTGAGACGGGAATCAAGGCTGGGGAGTGCGTGGGGTGAGAGGGGAAGCAAGACAGTTTACAGTGTGAGGTGAGCGGGGAAGCAAGGCTGGGTAGGGCGGGGGGTGTGAGGGGAAGCAATGCAGTTTAGAGTGTTGGGTGAGAGGGGAAGCAAGGCTGGATAGGGCGTGGGGTGAGAGGGGAAGCAAGGCTGGATAGGTCGTGGGGTGAGAGGGGAAGCAAGGCTGGATAGGGCGTGGGGTGAGAGGGGACGCAAGACAGTTTACAGTGTGGGGAGAGAGGGGAAGCAAGGCTGGGCAGGGCGCGGGGTGAGTGGGGAAATATGGCTGGGTAGGGCGTGGGGTGAGAGGGGAAGCAAGACAGTTTACAGTGTGAGGTGAGCGGGGAAGCAAGGCTGGGTAGGGCGGGGGGTGTGAGGGGAAGCAAGACAGTTTACAGTGTGAGGTGAGCGGGGAAGCAAGGCTGGGTAGGGCGGGGGGTGTGAGGGGAAGCAATGCAGTTTAGAGTGTTGGGTGAGAGGGGAAGCAAGGCTGGATAGGGCGTGGGGTGAGAGGGGAAGCAAGGCTGGAAAGGTCGTGGGGTGAGAGGGGAAGCAAGGCTGGATAGGGCGTGGGGTGAGAGGGGAAGCAAGACAGTTTACAGTGTGGGGAGAGAGGGGAAGCAAGGCTGGGCAGGGCGCGGGGTGAGTGGGGAAATATGGCTGGGTAGGGCGTGGGGTGAGAGGGGAAGCAAGACAGTTTACAGTGTGAGGTGAGCGGGGAAGCAAGGCTGGGTAGGGCGGGGGGTGTAAGGGGAAGCAATGCAGTTTAGAGTGTTGGGTGAGTGGGGAAGCAAGGCTGGATAGGGCATGGGGTGAGAGGGGAAGCAAGGCTGGATAGGGCGTGGGGTGAGAGGGGAAGCAAGGCTGGAAAGGTCGTGGGGTGAGAGGGGAAGCAAGGCTGGATAGGGCATGGGGTGAGAGGGGAAGCAAGGCTGGATAGGTCGTGGGGTGAGAGGGGAAGCAAGGCTGGATAGGGCGTGGGGTGAGAGGGGACGCAAGACAGTTTACAGTGTGGGGAGAGAGGGGAAGCAAGGCTGGGCAAGGCGTGGGGTGAGTGGGGAAATATGGCTGGGTAGGGCGTGGGGTGAGAGGGGAAGCAAGACAGTTTACAGTGTGAGGTGAGCGGGGAAGCAAGGCTGGGTAGGGCCGGGGGGTGAGGGGAAGCAATGCAGTTTAGAGTGTTGGGTGAGTGGGGAAGCAAGGCTGGATAGGGCATGGGGTGAGAGGGGAAGCAAGGCTGGATAGGGCGTGGGGTGAGAGGGGAAGCAAGGCTGGAAAGGTCGTGGGGTGAGAGGGGAAGCAAGGCTGGATAGGGCATGGGGTGAGAGGGGAAGCAAGGCTGGATAGGTCGTGGGGTGAGAGGGGAAGCAAGGCTGGATAGGGCGTGGGGTGAGAGGGGACGCAAGACACTTTACAGTGTGGGGAGAGAGGGGAAGCAAGGCTGGGCAGGGCGCGGGGTGAGTGGGGAAATATGGCTGGGTAGGGCGTGGGGTGAGAGGGGAAGCAAGACAGTTTACAGTGTGAGGTGAGCGGGGAAGCAAGGCTGGGTAGGGCCGGGGGGTGAGGGGAAGCAATGCAGTTTAGAGTGTTGGGTGAGTGGAGAAGCAAGGCTGGATAGGGCATGGGGTGAGAGGGGAAGCAAGGCTGGATAGGTCGTGGGGTGAGAGGGGAAGCAAGGCTGGATAGGGCGTGGGGTGAGAGGGGACGCAAGACAGTTTACAGTGTGGGGAGAGAGGGGAAGCAAGGCTGGGCAAGGCGCGGGGTGAGTGGGCAAATATGGCTGGGTAGGGCGTGGGGTGTGAGGGGAAGCAAGACAGTTTACAGTGTGAGGTGAGCGGAGAAGCAAGGCTGGGTAGGGCGGGGGGTGTGAGGGGAAGCAATGCAGTTTAGAGTGTTGGGTGAGTGGGGAAGCAAGGCTGGATAGGGCGTGGGGTGAGAGGGGAAGCAAGGCTGGATAGGGCGTGGGGTGAGAGGGGAAGCAAGGCTGGATAGGTCGTGGGGTGAGAGGGGAAGCAAGGCTGGATAGGGCGTGGGGTGAGAGGGGACGCAAGACAGTTTACAGTGTGGGGAGAGAGGGGAAGCAAGGCTGGGCAAGGCGCGGGGTGAGTGGGGAAATATGGCTGGGTAGGGCGTGGGGTGAGAGGGGAAGCAAGACAGTTTACAGTGTGAGGTGAGCGGGGAAGCAAGGCTGGGTAGGGCCGGGGGGTGAGGGGAAGCAATGCAGTTTAGAGTGTTGGGTGAGTGGGGAAGCAAGGCTGGATAGGGCATGGGGTGAGAGGGGAAGCAAGGCTGGATAGGGCGTGGGGTGAGAGGGGAAGCAAGGCTGGAAAGGTCGTGGGGTGAGAGGGGAAGCAAGGCTGGATAGGGCATGGGGTGAGAGGGGAAGCAAGGCTGGATAGGTCGTGGGGTGAGAGGGGAAGCAAGGCTGGATAGGGCGTGGGGTGAGAGGGGACGCAAGACAGTTCACAGTGTGGGGAGAGAGGGGAAGCAAGGCTGGGCAAGGCGCGGGGTGAGTGGGGAAATATGGCTGGGTAGGGCGTGGGGTGAGAGGGGAAGCAAGACAGTTTACAGTGTGAGGTGAGCGGGGAAGCAAGGCTGGGTAGGGCGGGGGGTGTGAGGGGAAGCAATGCAGTTTAGAGTGTTGGGTGAGTGGGGAAGCAAGGCTGGATAGGGCGTGGGGTGAGAGGGGAAGCAAGGCTGGATAGGGCGTGGGGTGAGAGGGGACGCAAGACAGTTTACAGTGTGGGGAGAGAGGGGAAGCAAGGCTGGGCAGGGCGCGGGGTGAGTGGGGAAATATGGCTGGGTAGGGCGTGGGGTGAGAGGGGAAGCAAGACAGTTTACAGTGTGAGGTGAGCGGGGAAGCAAGGCTGGGTAGGGCGGGGGGTGTGAGGGGAAGCAATGCAGTTTAGAGTGTTGGGTGAGTGGGGAAGCAAGGCTGGATAGGGCATGGGGTGAGAGGGGAAGCAAGGCTGGATAGGGCGTGGGGTGAGAGGGGAAGCAAGGCTGGAAAGGTCGTGGGGTGAGAGGGGAAGCAAGGCTGGATAGGGCATGGGGTGAGAGGGGAAGCAAGGCTGGATAGGTCGTGGGGTGAGAGGGGAAGCAAGGCTGGATAGGGCGTGGGGTGAGAGGGGACGCAAGACAGTTTACAGTGTGGGGAGAGAGGGGAAGCAAGGCTGGGCAAGGCGCGGGGTGAGTGGGGAAATATGGCTGGGTAGGGCGTGGGGTGAGAGGGGAAGCAAGACAGTTTACAGTGTGAGGTGAGCGGGGAAGCAAGGCTGGGTAGGGCCGGGGGGTGAGGGGAAGCAATGCAGTTTAGAGTGTTGGGTGAGTGGGGAATCAAGGCTGGATAGGGCATGGGGTGAGAGGGGAAGCAAGGCTGGATAGGTCGTGGGGTGAGAGGGAAAGCAAGGCTGGATAGGGCGTGGGGTGAGAGGGGACGCAAGACAGTTTACAGTGTGGGGAGAGAGGGGAAGCAAGGCTGGGCAAGGCGCGGGGTGAGTGGGGAAATATGGCTGGGTAGGGCGTGGGGTGAGAGGGGAAGCAGGACAGTTTGCAGTGTGAGGTGAGCGGGGAAGCAAGGCTGGGTAGGGCGGGTGGTGAGAGGGGAAGCAATGCAGTTTAGAGTGTCGGGTGAGTGGGGAAGCAAGGCTGGATAGGGCATGGGGTGAGAGGGGAAGCAAGGCTGGATAGGGCGTGGGTTGAGAGGGGAAGCAGGGCTGGGTAGGGCGGGTGGTGAGAGGGGAAGCAATGCAGTTTAGAGTGTCGGGTGAGTGGGGAAGCAAGGCTGGATAGGGCATGGGGTGAGAGGGGAAGCAAGGCTGGAAAGGGCGTGGGGTGAGAGGGGAAGCAAGGCTGGATAGGGTGTGGGGTGAGCGGGGAAGCAAGGCTGGGTAGGGCGGGGGGTGAGAGGGGTAGCAATGCAGTTTAGAGTGTCGGGTGAGTGGGGAAGCAAGGCTGGGTAGGGCGTGCGGTGAGAAGTGAATGGATGCTGGATATGGCGCGGGGTGAGAGGGGGAGCAAGGCTAGATAGGGCGTGGGGTGTGAGAGTGTAAGGGATGCTGGATAGGCCGTGGTATGCCCGGTTGAGCAAGAGTGGAGTGGGTGTGGGGTGAGAACGGGAGCAAGTGTGGGTAGGGTGCTGATTGAAACGGGAGAACACGGCTGGAAAATACCTGTTGAGAGCGCAGGGTGCATGTTGGATAGGGCGTGGGGAGATAGGGGAAGCTGGGAAAATGGACAGGCCACGCAAGATTTGATGGATTTTCCAGCCGGGCAACGACAAAGCGAACCCAACCAGTAGTGTCAAGAGTCCGGATCTAAGCACACAGCCTACCACCACAGCTCTGCACCCCTATGTCGGGCCGGAGTTGGGAAATCCGCGGTAGTGTCAAGAATCCGGATCTAGCCACACAGCCTACCACCACAGCTCTGCACCCCTATGTCTCCACCTCACCCACCCCACCTGATACAATGCTCCCTCCCTCTCTCTCGCCAATTGCCTCATACCGAGTTTAGCTCGCGAAACTCTACCATGGCATGATGCTGGGGCTGAAATTCAGTGGCTGGGGGAATTGGGCTTTTCAAGCATGGCATGTTGCATGTTTATTATGCATGATGTTGTGCTTCTGGGTTGATCATGCATTGCAACAGAACCAGGTGCACCACATCTCCCTGTTCAGCAAACCCCCCCCCCCCCCCACCTTTTCCGGTTTGCTATGCCTCATCCCGGTTTCTGGATAGGCTGTGGGGTGAGTGGGGGAGCACCGCTGCATAGTGCATGGAGTAAAATAGGAAGCGACGGTACAGAGGGCGCTAGGTGACCATGGGAGTAAGTCTGAATAGGGGCGTATAGCGTAAGCGGTGGGGGCGTAGATAGGCCGTGGGGTGAGAGGGGGAACGGGTGGAGAGAGTGGGGAGAGGGAAGGGAGCATGGATGGATAGGGTGTGGGGTGAAATGGGGAGCTAGGGTTCAGAGGGCTCGGGGGGACCACTGTAGCAAGGCTGGATAGAGTGCAGCCTACGAGAGGGAGCATCGGTAGATATGCTCTGGGGTGCGATGAGGAGCTAGGCTGTGGGGTGCGCGGTTGCAGGAGGGGAGCAAGATGGATAGGGCAAGATGCAGAGCAAGGTGGGAGATGCGGAGCAAGGGGCCAGCTGCGGAGCAGGGTGGGAGCAAGTGTTCATGTGATGTGGATTGGGAGGGTGAGAAAGGGGATATTGGAGGGTCATGTTTGGCAAGGAGGAGTTGCTATCCCTCGATTCAACCCATCCCCATGGAAATTGGCAAGCAATGTTCCACATGGGCTATGCTTGGTCTTCACTACTCTCTGTGTGTGGCAGAAGGGTGGTGACAGTGTCGAGAATGTTGGGCGCGAGGCGGGGCGGAACGAGCCCACATGGCGGGCAACGTGGGGGATCTAGTAGACATGTGCATACCGACTGTCGGTAAGTGAGGGTACGAGAACAGCCTTGACAATGTAATGAGGGTTGCCCACTACGCAATCATTCATTTGTGGTGCCACGCCTCAGCCCCCACAGTTGGGTTGTTGGTGACGGGTGAAATATAATGGGCGCACCTGTTGTGCAAGGAGTGGATGATCCCTTGTGGTACTGGGCCGCGTTGAAATATGAGAACCATCACCAATGTCGTGAACCAAACTGCACATGTTGCCCCCTTTCTGCGCTCGTACAGGGAGCCTTGTGGGGGACGGGCAACCCGCAATGCAGCACGGGCATGCCAAACATACGATGTGCGCCGACACAATGTAGAGTGGTCGTTACGAGCACCCATCTGCTACTTGTGCATGGGGTTGAGCGTGCTCATGCCTGGGCCGCGTTTGGCCACACTCAGTGACCTACTAAGAATCTACATGCACGCTGCCCCGAACGTAACAGCGAGATTACGGCAGGCTGCCGCGAATGCAGGTGAGCTGACGTGTGTACATCAACTCGTCAAAAAGTATATGTGAAGGTAGGTGTATTGGAATAAACAAGGAACTAATGGTTCGTTTGTGCTGGTGCACAACGCAGGACCTCATGGGCACGCAGCCAATGAGGTGGTGAAACTACATCTTGCGGCTTCGTCCACTACGTTCTGGAAACGAATGGGCCGGGGTGCGGCGAAGATGGATGACATTCTGGACCGCGGGAATAGAGAGTTGGCTGGTGTGGATTGCGACTTCCCACCCTGGGAGGAGGTGGGGAGGGGTGGTATGCGGAGGGTCAACGGAAATGGATGGGGTGGCGCACGCAAGGGATCAAGATGGGTAAATCATCAAGCAACAGGTGTGTGGATGTCTTTAGGATGACTTAGTGGTCGCGTCAAGTCGTTGAAATGGGAGATGAGACAGACATCGGTGCTAACGTGCGACAATGTTCCTGTAGATGGGGCCGCGCCGGCGGGAGCAAGCACGTCGGAGGAGTCGGACGACAGTTCGGCGACAGATACTGGAGGACAGCAGCGCGGAGATGGCAATGGGGGGGGAGGCTGCCATGATGCGCCGACAAGGGGGGGGAGGTTACTCGGTTCTGCGAGGCAAGAAGGTCGTGATCCGGCAGCTAGGGGGGGGGGTGGCTTGCATATGGGTGAGAGTGCTGAAGGATCTGGTGCCATGGGGCAGGTCCGAGAAGGGTCCCATGAAACGGGGGAACGTCTTGGAGATGGGGGGATATCTGCAAACGATGCAGCCGAGGCGGTCGATGTTCATGACGGGTGAGTGCTCTAGGATCCTGGTGGCAATTTTGAGAGGACCCTAAGATATTCGCGTGCGCAATCAATAGGAGGAATGCAACACCTAGAGTATCGTCCGCTTTGTCATGCAACTGAGTCCGACTCTGGCCACTGTACACCGCAACCGTGTTCTGTCATTCCGTGTCGTACTTGCAGATCAGCACCACGAGAGGGACCGGCCCCAAGGCGGGTGCCGCAAGGGTGGAAATCCCATCCAAACTGGGACGACTTTCCATCGGACATGCTATGTTTCCTTGATCCGAGGGTGATGGTTTCCTTCTTTTGTGGCCGGGCGTTGGGTTACTGTCAGAAAAATGGCTGTCAGGGTGAGATGATGCTTGCATCATGGAAGAGGTCGTGGGCGTGTTTTGGAATGCTGTGGATGTGCACCTCTTGTCCTACAAAGGATGAGATGTGGTCGACCAGTAGGGTAAGGGACGATTTGCCATCGAGTAAGCCTGGACCACGAACCCCTCCAGTGATGCATAAGCTTGTGGGAGCCTTTGCTCTAGCAGGAATCGGGTATCAACAAACTTGGGAGATATGTCGCAGCTTGGGTGTTCCACGTCCAGGCCATGGAACATTTTACCGCTTCATGGGTGGCGATAGTGGTCTATGGAGTGCGATCATAGAGCAGGCCAAAAGCAGTATGGAAGCAGTTCGGGTGAGCATGTCACAGCGTCCAGTAAATAGAAGATGGCTGTGCATCGATGGTCGTTGGTCGAATGTTCGCGAAGCCAAATGGTGCACGGTGTCGTTCATGGACCGTGAATCCCGAAAAATCATGATGTGTAAAAAACACTAGGAGAGGGAGGGATGACGACTCATCGGTGATGCTAGAGAGGGTAGCGTTCAACCAGGGCCATGGACGAGTTAGTGAATAGTGGTTTTGGGCTAGAGGGCATTGTCACGGGATGAGGGAAACACTTATAGTGGAGCCGCCAACGAGCGAGGTGTGAAGCACCAAGTAGATTGGTGGCATAAGTGTGGTTCTGTGGTCCGTAACTTTAGGGAAAAGGTGCAGGACGCGACTCGAAAGGCTGGCACGGTAGACGGGGCAATCGTATGTGAGGATCTATATCTAATCACAGTGAAAAAACTGTTAGAGTGGTTAGGGCATCCTTCCCGAGGTGGTGGGGGGGTGAGCAGATCGGCGGGGAAAAAAGAAATCATTCACGCAGTATGTCTTTTGCGTGCGTTTGAGTTCAAAGACATGAAGGAGTCGGATGCAAAGTATTTGCACCTAGAGCTGCAACAAGTAGTGAGGTTGGAAAGGGGAGTTAGGACAGCCAACAACACGGGACGAGGGGAAGTACCAAGGGAGCAGGGGGCGGGGGCGGTAGGAGGAGATGCGCCAGAGGAAAGTGAAAGCGACAGGAATGGAGGCATGGCTGAGGGGGGTACGGAGAGGATGCCGGACGCTATGGTTAGATGGTCCGATGTGGAGGAATTGTGGGATGGTGACGTCCATCCAGTGCGGGGGATACGGCCCACTCGCACGCATCGATGTTGCTTGTCCAAGCATGGAACGGCATCGGGGAGGGGCGTCACTTCATGATGGAAGACGATCAAGTACCAAATACAAACCCAGGTGATATGTAGTAGAGCTTTCTGTGTGGAGAGAAACGGCTATGAACGGATGTGCGTGATCATTCAAATCGGTTATTGAGTTCATCTTGCAGTCGATCGGGTTCTCATGTGAGCGGCCCAATCACATGCGCTCTGATTTTGTGCGTGCAGGCAACCAAGCCCACATGGGCGGTGGCGACATGGATGTGGAGGGAGAGGAAAACAACAGACAGGGAAGTGGGGCAGACGAGAACGTGGATCCGGCAGCGGGGACCCAGCAGCAGAGCGGCAGGCGTTGGGGTCGGCGAGCCCCAAGAAGACGGACGCGTAGAGGGTCGGCTGCCGGTGGGGAAGATAGCGGGGCACCACGGGGGGGCAAAAAGGTGCACACCGTGGCGGACAGGTTGGGCGTGCACTTTTATCATTGTATGCTGCGTAGCGGGGCACGGTCGGCTGACGGGAACACTCCGACTCCCGAGGAGGTATCGGAGGAGTTGTGCCTCTGTGCTGACCACTGGGCAGGGGATCACTCATGGTGTGGTGCACGGGCAGGTGCAACGCCAAAATGCGTGTCGGAGAACTGGGGTCCTGAGTGCGCTATATACGAGCGGAACTCCGCTACACACTTGGCAGTGAGGGATTGGTGTCGTAGGAACTTTAGTATAGCCAAGGTGGCTTGCATTGTGGAGGGCGCTACGAGTTCCATGAATGAGTCATTTCATTCGCTCATCCTGAAGTACGCCCCAAAAAGAAACAGGTTTCAAGGAAGCTATGACGCGAGGGTGGCTCTGGCAGTAATACATTGGAACAATTGCATGGACCGGATCGTGCGCGCTTTTGTCATGCGTGTGCGTCATATCACGAGAGTGCGGCGCGGACGGAGGGACCGGGTACTGGGTCCGATGGACTGGTGTTGGGTCGACAACATCCTACACGAGTGGCGGCGACCCTCGGAGGAACAGACTGATGATGATCTTGCGTCGGCGGCCATGACTGGTTCGCCTGCAACTCGGGCACAGACGGGGACAGCAACACCTCAGACAGCAGTCTCGCCTCCCGACATTGCGTCTCCCGGAATTTCAGTGGGCTCCAACGTGCACAATTTGAGATCTTCGGCAGTCGACACGAGCCGCGCGACGCGAGCCCCGGCCCGGGGGGCACGTCGCAGCCTAAACGGTGAGTTGTATCGTTATGTTGCCGTCAACCCGAGCCGTGCCTCCTAGCATGCCTTGTAACTTGGACTTGACGCACAACGAACCGCGAGCACGTCCCAACTCTGGTTGCCATGCACATGCTTCACGACACGTGTTGTCTGACTCTCCCCCCCTAAACCCGCCTCCCTCTCTCCCCTATTTACAAAAAGGGCCATGGTCCTTATGCCACAATAATACCACAACCGCAGTGGAGTGTGGGACTTTACACTGCTCCAGTTTGGGGCCTCCACATAGTTCATCCGGCCTGCGCACGGTGAGCTGGGTTCCCCCCCTGACTTGTCCCTGTGCGCTGACCACTCTGACTTCCCTTCTCCCCCCGTGCACTAACCACCCTGGCTTCCCCTCTCCCTCCGGTGCCCTAACCCACCTTGCCGCCCCTCTTTCCCTGTGCGCTAACCACCCTGCTTTCTCGTCTCACCCCATGCATTAACCCACCTCTCTGCCCTCTGTCCCTGTGCGCTGACCACTCTGACTTCCCTTCTCCCCCCCGTGCACTAACCCATTGTGCCGCCCCTCTGTCCCTGTGCGCTAACCACCCTGTCCTCCCCTCTCCCCCTGGTGCCCTAAACCCACCTTGCCACCCCTCTGTCCCTGTGCGCTAACCACCCTGTCCTCCCTTCTCACCCCGTGCCCTAACCCTCCTTGCTGCCCCTCTGTCCCTGTGCGCTGACCACTCTGACTTCCCTTCTCCCCCCGTGCACTAACCCATCGTGCCGCCCCTCTGTCCCTGTGCGCTAACCACCCTGTCCTCCCCTCTCCCCCCAGTGCCCTAACCCACCTTGCCACCCCTCTGTCCCTGTGCGCTAACCACCCTGTCCTCCCTTCTCACCCCGTGCCCTAAACCCTCCTTGCTGCCCCTCTGTCCCTGTGCGCTGACCACTCTGACTTCCCTTCGCCCCCCGTGCACTAACCCACATTGCTACCCCTCTTTCCCTGTGCACTAACCACCCTGGCTTCCCCTCTCCCCCCAGTGCACTAACCCACCCTGCTGCCCCTCTGTCCCTGTTAGCTAACCCTGCCTACCCCTCTCACCCCGTGCTCCAACCCACCTTGCTGCCCCTCTGTCCCTGTGCGCTGACCACTCTGACTTCCCTTCTCCCCCCGTGCACTAACCCACCTTGCCGCCCCTCTGTCCCTGTGCGCTAACCACCCTGTCCTCCCCTCTCACCCCGTGCCCTAACCCTCCTTGCGGCCCCACTGTCCCTGTCCGCTGACCACTCTGACTTCCCCTCTCCCCCCGTGCACTAAGCCATTTTGCCGCCCCTCTGTCCCTGTGCACTAACCACCCTGCTTTCCCGTCTCACCCCATGCACTAACCCACCTTGCTGCCCCTCTGTCCCTGTGCGCTAACCACCCTACCTTCCCCCTCACCCCATGCCCTTACCCACCTTGCTGACCCTCTCTCCCTGAGCGCTAACCACCCTGGCTTCCCCTCTCCCCCCAGTGCACTAACCCACCCTGCTGCCCCTCTGTCCCTGTTAGCTATCCCTGCCTACCCCTCTCACCCCGTGCTCCAACCCACCTTGCTGCCCCTCTGTCCCTATGCGCTGACCACTCTGACTTCCCTTCTCCCCCGTGCACTAACCCACCTTGCCGCCCCTCTGTCCCTGTGCGCTAACCACCCTGTCCTCCCCTCTCACCCCGTGCCCTAACCCTCCTTGCGGCCCCACTGTCCCTGTCCGCTGACCACTCTGACTTCCCCTCTCCCCCCGTGCACTAAGCCATTTTGCCGCCCCTCTGTCCCTGTGCACTAACCACCCTGCTTTCCCGTCTCACCCCATGCACTAACCCACCTTGCTGCCCCTCTGTCCCTGTGCGCTACCCACCCTACCTTCCCCCCTCACCCCATGCCCTTACCCACCTTGCTGACCCTCTCTCCCTGAGCGCTAACCACCCTGGCTTCCCCTCTCCCCCCAGTGCACTAACCCACCCTGCTGCCCCTCTGTCCCTGTTAGCTAACCCTGCCTACCCCTCTCACCCCGTGCTCCAACCCTCCTTGCTGCCCCTCTGTCCCTGTGCGCTGACCACTCTGACTTCCCTTCCCCCCCCGTGCACTAACCCACCTTGCTGCCCCTTTGTCCCTGTGCACTAACCACTGTGCTTTCCCGTCTCACCCCATGCACTAACCCACCTCGCTGCCCCTCTGTCCCTGTGCACTAAACACCCTGGCTTCCCCTCTTCCCCTGGTGCCCTAACCCACCTTGCTGCCCCTCTGTCCCTGTGCGCTAACCACCCTGTCCTCCCCTCTCACCCCGTGCCCTAACCCTCCTTGCTGCCCCTCTGACCCTGTGCGCTAACCACTCTGACTTCCCCTCTCCCTCCGTTGCACTATCCAACATTGCCTCCCCTCTGGCCCTGTGCACTAACCACCCTGTCCTACCCTCTCAGACTTAGGATCTATCCTAACCCGCGTCGTCCATCTCCTCTCGACACATCAGGCAAAGAGTCGTAATCACTAGCACCAGATGAACCTTCCCCCTTCGCACCTTCGCTTGGATTCGTCATCATCGCATCCATGTTCCCCACTCTTGTCTTAGTTTCCTTGTTTGTTCTCTGCTTCGTTATGGCTTGCAGGTTGTCTCCCCCGTTCACCAGGGTGCTGTTTTGTCTCGGATTGCTCCCCTCAGCCACCCCTCTCTGGTGGGGGTATCCTATTGCAGCATCTTTTTGAATCCGGGGTGTAATTATTCAAGAATGCCAGCCAACTAGCTCGGAGCTTTGCTACTCATATTTTGATAGCATGTTACATTCTATGTGTAATACTACAAACATGCACTGTGCGTGGGGGGTTGTGGGAGAAGATGTGGCTCTCATTTCCCTCCATGCCGATATTGCAAGGCGGGATGCCTCCTGACAGTTTCTCAACTAACCTAGTGAAAGTCATTGGGTTTGACCGATGGCTCAAAATACACTTTGCTGCATTGCCTAGATCATGCATGTGCCGGTGATAGTCTTTTGTAGTTGCTTTTGGGATGGAATCTGAGCACAAAGGCCCAGTCGTTGCATTCCGCAAAAGAAAGCGTAGCCGAGGGAGTTTATGCTGGGATGCGCCATTGTGCTGGTCCTGGAGCCCGAAACTGGGAGTCGGGTCATGATGATGTGGAGACGTAGAAGAGGGGGGGGGGCAGTGGTGAGGGGAGGTGGGTGGGTCTTTGTGGGAAACTCGTGTCGCCTTTATCCCATAACCTTTAGTTATCACCCCATACAATGACCCACCTTGCCGCCCCTCTGTCCCTGTGCGCTAACCACCCTGCCTTCCCCTCTCACCCCGTGCTCTAACCCTCCTTGCTGCCCCTCTGTCCCTGTACGCTAACCACTCTGCCTTCCCCTCTCACCCCGTGCAGTAACCCCCCTTGCTGCCCCTCTCTCCCTGTGCACTAACCACCCTGCCTTCCCTTCTCACCCTGTGCAGTAACCCCCCTTCCTGCCCCTCTTTCCCTGAGCGCTAACCACCCAGACTTCCCCTCTCCCCCTGGTGCATGCGAGGCAGACAGGGGAGGCAAGGCGGAGAGGGGAGGCGTGGCGGAGAGGGGAGGCGAGGTGGAGAGGGAAGGCAAGGCAGAGAGGGGAGGCAAGGCGTAGAGGGGAGGCGAGGCAGAGAGTGGAGGGGGGGCGAGTCAGAGAGGGGAGGCGAGGCAAAGAGGGGAGGAAAGGCAGAGAGGGGAGGCGTGGCGGAGAGGGGAGGAGAGGCGGAGGGGGAGGCGAGGCAGAGAGGGGAGGCGAGGCGGAGTGGGGAGGTGAGGCAGAAAGGGGAGGGTGGTTAGCGTACAGGGACAGAGGGGAAGCAAGGAGGGCTAGTGCATGGGGCGAGAGGGGACGGCAGGGTGGTTAGCGCACAGGGACAGAGGGCCTCTCCGCCTCGCCTCCCCTCTCCGCCTCGCCTCCCCTCTCTGCCTCGCCTCCCCTCTCTGCCTTGCCTCTCCTCTACGCCTCACCTCCCTCTCCGCCACGCCTCCCCTCTCTGTCTCGCCTCCCCTCTACGCCTCGCCTCCCCTCTCTGCCTTGCCTGCCCTCTCCGCCTCGCCTCCCCTCTCCGCCTCGCCTCCCCTCTCTGCCTCGCCTCCCCCCTCTGCCTCGCCTCCCCCTTCTGCTTGCCTCCCCTCTCTGATTCGCCCCCCCTCTCTGCCTCGCCTCCCCTCTCCGCCACGCCTCCCCTCTCTGCCTCGCCTCCCCTCCCCACCTCGCCACCCCTCTCCGCCACGCCTCCCCCTTCTGCCTCGCCTCCCCTCTCAGCCACACCTCCACCTCTCCGCCTCGCCTCCCCTCTCCGCCACACCTCCCCTCTCCGCCTCGCCTCCCCTCTCAGCCTCGCCTCCCCTCTCAGCCTCGCCTCCCCTCTCCGCCTCGCCTCCCCCCTCTGCCTCGCCTCCCCCCTCTGCTTGCCTCCCCTCTCTGACTCGCCCCCCCTCTCTGCCTCGCCTCCCCTCTCTGCCTCGCCCCCCCTCTCTGCCTCGCCTCTCCTCTCTGCCTCGCCTCCCCTCCCCACCTCGCCACCCCTCTCCGCCACGCCTCCCCCTTCTGCCTCGCCTCCCCTCTCAGCCTCGCCTCCCCTCTCAGCCTCGCCTCCCCTCTCCGCCTCGCCTCCCCCCTCTGCCTCGCCTCCCCCCTCTGCTTGCCTCCCCTCTCTGATTCGCCCCCCCTCTCTGCCTCGCCTCCCCTCTCCGCCACGCCTCCCCTCTCTGCCTCGCCTCCCCTCCCCACCTCGCCACCCCTCTCCGCCACGCCTCCCCCTTCTGCCTCGCCTCCCCTCTCAGCCACACCTCCCCTCTCCGCCTCGCCTCCCCTCTCCGCCACACCTCCCCTCTCCGCCTCGCCTCCCCTCTCAGCCTCGCCTCCCCTCTCAGCCTCGCCTCCCCTCTCCGCCTCGCCTCCCCCCTCTGCCTCGCCTCCCCCCTCTGCTTGCCTCCCCTCTCTGACTCGCCCCCCCTCTCTGCCTCGCCTCCCTCTCTGCCTCGCCCCCCTCTCTGCCTCGCCTCTCCTCTCTGCCTCGCCTCCCCTCCCCACCTCGCCACCCCTCTCCGCCACGCCTCCCCCTTCTGCCTCGCCTCCCCTCTCCGCCACACCTCCCCTCTCCGCCTCGCCTCCCCTCTCAGCCTCGCCTCCCCTCTCAGCCTCGCCTCCCCTCTCCGCCTCGCCTCCCCCCTCTGCCTCGCCTCCCCCCTCTGCTTGCCTCCCCTCTCTGATTCGCCCCCCCTCTCTGCCTCGCCTCCCCTCTCCGCCACGCCTCCCCTCTCTGCCTCGCCTCCCCTCCCCACCTCGCCACCCCTCTCCGCCACGCCTCCCCCTTCTGCCTCGCCTCCCCTCTCAGCCACACCTCCCCTCTCCGCCTCGCCTCCCCTCTCCGCCACACCTCCCCTCTCCGCCTCGCCTCCCCTCTCAGCCTCGCCTCCCCTCTCAGCCTCGCCTCCCCTCTCCGCCTCGCCTCCCCCCTCTGCCTCGCCTCCCCCCTCTGCTTGCCTCCCCTCTCTGACTCGCCCCCCCTCTCTGCCTCGCCTCCCCTCTCTGCCTCGCCCCCCCTCTCTGCCTCGCCTCTCCTCTCTGCCTCGCCTCCCCTCCCCACCTCGCCACCCCTCTCCGCCACGCCTCCCCCTTCTGCCTCGCCTCCCCTCTCCGCCACACCTCCCCTCTCCGCCTCGCCTCCCCTCTCAGCCTCGCCTCCCCTCTCAGCCTCGCCTCCCCTCTCCGCCTCGCCTCCCCCCTCTGCCTCGCCTCCCCCCTCTGCTTGCCTCCCCTCTCTGATTCGCCCCCCTCTCTGCCTCGCCTCCCCTCTCCGCCACGCCTCCCCTCTCTGCCTCGCCTCCCCTCCCCACCTCGCCACCCCTCTCCGCCACGCCTCCCCCTTCTGCCTCGCCTCCCCTCTCAGCCACACCTCCCCTCTCCGCCTCGCCTCCCCTCTCCGCCACACCTCCCTCTCCGCCTCGCCTCCCCTCTCAGCCTCGCCTCCCCTCTCAGCCTCGCCTCCCCTCTCCGCCTCGCCTCCCCCCTCTGCCTCGCCTCCCCCTCTGCTTGCCTCCCCTCTCTGACTCGCCCCCCCTCTCTGCCTCGCCTCCCCTCTCTGCCTCGCCCCCCCTCTCTGCCTCGCCTCTCCTCTCTGCCTCGCCTCCCCTCCCCACCTCGCCACCCCTCTCCGCCACGCCTCCCCCTTCTGCCTCGCCTCCCCTCTCCGCCACACCTCCCCTCTCCGCCTCGCCTCCCCTCTCAGCCTCGCCTCCCCTCTCAGCCTCGCCTCCCCTCTCCGCCTCGCCTCCCCCCTCTGCCTCGCCTCCCCCTCTGCTTGCCTCCCCTCTCTGATTCGCCCCCCCTCTCTGCCTCGCCTCCCCTCTCCGCCACGCCTCCCCTCTCTGCCTCGCCTCCCCTCCCCACCTCGCCACCCCTCTCCGCCACGCCTCCCCCTTCTGCCTCGCCTCCCCTCTCAGCCACACCTCCCTCTCCGCCTCGCCTCCCCTCTCCGCCACACCTCCCCTCTCCGCCTCGCCTCCCCTCTCAGCCTCGCCTCCCCTCTCAGCCTCGCCTCCCCTCTCCGCCTCGCCTCCCCCCTCTGCCTCGCCTCCCCCCTCTGCTTGCCTCCCCTCTCTGACTCGCCCCCCCTCTCTGCCTCGCCTCCCCTCTCTGCCTCGCCCCCCCTCTCTGCCTCGCCTCTCCTCTCTGCCTCGCCTCCCCTCCCCACCTCGCCACCCCTCTCCGCCACGCCTCCCCCTTCTGCCTCGCCTCCCCTCTCCGCCACACCTCCCCTCTCCGCCTCGCCTCCCCTCTCAGCCTCGCCTCCCCTCTCAGCCTCGCCTCCCCTCTCCGCCTCGCCTCCCCCCTCTGCCTCGCCTCCCCCCTCTGCTTGCCTCCCCTCTCTGACTCGCCCCCCTCTCTGCCTCGCCTCCCCTCTCAGCCTCGCCTCCCCTCTCCGCCTCGCCTCCCCCCTCTGCCTCGCCTCCCCCCTCTGCTTGCCTCCCCTCTCTGACTCGCCCCCCCTCTCTGCCTCGCCTCTCCTCTCTGCCTCGCCTCCCCTCCCCACCTCGCCACCCCTCTCCGCCACGCCTCCCCCTTCTGCCTCGCCTCCCCTCTCCGCCACACCTCCCCTCTCCGCCTCGCCTCCCCTCTCTGCCTCGCCTCCCCTCTCAGCCTCGCCTCCCCTCTCCGCCTCGCCTCCCCCCTCTGCCTCGCCTCCCCCCTCTGCTTGCCTCCCCTCTCTGACTCGCCCCCCTCTCTGCCTCGCCTCCCCTCTCCGCCACGCCTCCCCTCTACGCCTCGCCTCCCCTCCCCACCTCGCCACCCTCTCCGCCACGCCTCCCCCTTCTGCCTCGCCTCCCCTCTCAGCCTCGCCTCCCCTCTCCGCCTCGCCTCCCCTCTCTGCCACGCTTCTTATCCCGCGTGGCTCCCCCTCCCACTTCGCTTCGTATGTTGCATTGCTCCCCTTCTCAACCCGCCTCCTATCTCGCGGTGCTTCCCCTCATCCCCCCTCGCCGCTCTCCTCTCTTTAGGCGCCTCTCTCCTCTCCCGCCACCTCTCTCCTCCCGCGTCTCCTGTCTCACCTCCCGCCATCTCTCTCCTCCCTACTCGCCTTTATCCCCTCTCCTCGCCTACCTCCTCTCGCGCCGCCGCTTTCAGCCATGTCTAGCCCGTGCCTTTCGCGTGTTGCTCACTTCTCTCGCCATGCCTCTACCATACGCCTCGCTCCTCTCCTCTCGCGTCGTCTCTCCCCTGTCTCGTCGCCGCTCTCGTCTCGCCTAGCCTCTATCCTTGCCTAGCCTCTGTCCTCCCGCGTCGACTGTCTCCTCACGCATCGCCTGTCCTCTCGCCTTACCTCTCTCTTCTCACCACGTGTCGCTATTTCCTCTGGCGTCGCCTCTCGAATTTCGATCCGCCCATCTCCTCTTGCGTCGCCTCTGTCCTCCCGCGTCGTCTGTCTCCTCACGCCTTACTTCTCTCCTCTCAGCTCACATCTCTCCCCTCGCCTCGTCTCACTCTATCCTACCGCGAGGCCTCTCTCTTATCGAGTCGCTACATTCCTTCGCGTCCCCTCTCTCCTACCGCAAAGCCTCTCCTATCGCGTCGCCTCTCCTCCAGCGAGAGCCGCTCGCCTCTTGCCTTGTCATTATCCTCTCGCATCACCCTAAACCCTATTCTGATGCCTCACTTGCGACAGAGTCAATTCATCACGTGAGACTTGTCTTGGCTTTTTCGTCCATATCTGGAAGTACGCGCTTTGCTCCTAACTCCCCGACACAAATGGGTGGACCTTGTGGGATCTGTCTACCTCCTCGTCCCAAATTACCATCAAACTGGGCCCACGCTATTTCCGTCCCTGGCTGGCTGGTTTGTCATGTTCTTGTGCGAAAAGGGGTGGTTAGCCCCTCGGCATTTTCCCGGTCTGGGTGAGGGTGGATTGGGTTACCAACCCGAACCACATCAAACTGGGCCCAGTTTGATGGTCAACCTTGCTAATTTGGGACCTGGGCTTTAAAGCGCGGATCCCAAAACCCCCGAAGTCAAAAACTTAGGTTTTGAGAGGGGGATTGGGCGAAATTCGCGAGAGTCACGAAACGCAGCAAAGATAGCGGGTTGGACGCGAGGGGCAATGAAGGCCTCGCGAACAAAGCCCCGCCTCGGCAGGCATGAGCAGTGTCGCCAGCCCTCGTGTGCGACGAATTGGCACTACGCGACGATTCGCCCAGCTCACGCCAGCACATCATACGCCAAAAAGTACTGCGCCAAAAAGCACAAGCTTGCGCGCTGTGCTAAAAGAAACAGTGAAAAGAACTTGCCATGAGAAATCTACTAAATTAAACTTAGGACAAGCATGTTATCTTCCTACCAACATTACATAAATGCATGTGTCGACTATAGTCTTCCAGCATGTGGAACACAGGGAAACTTTAGCACGAAGAAGTAACTCAAGAACAAATACATCGAAGAAATCATGCATATTGTATGGGAAAAAATGGAGGTCACATTCCCTCCCATCAAATTGTCAAACATGTGTATTTGTCATGTTTGTATAGACTGTATAGAGTCACCTCTTAGAGGTTACAAAACTTAGATATATTTGTGTGTACTCTCACTTTACATTCATTCAATTATTCTGATATGGTATCACGCGTAGGTAGGATCCCCCCCCCCCCCCACCCACCGCTTCCGCTCATGCCCCCTAGCGCCCCACCTGGGCCCCGTCGCGCTCCTCCCAGGCCCCGTCGCGCTCCTCCCAGGCCCCGTAGCGCCCCTCCTGGGCCTCGTCGCGCCCCTCCTGGGCTTCGTAGCGCCCCTGCCAGGCCCCGCCGCGCCCCTCCTGGGCTTCGTAGCGCCCCTGCCAGGCCCCGTCGCGCCCCTCCCAGGCCCCGTCGCGCTCCTCCCAGGCCCACTAGCGCCCCTCCTGGGCCCCGTCGCGCTCCTCTCAGGTCCCGTAGCGCCCCGTCGCACCCCTCCTGGGCCCCCGTAGCGCCCCTCCTGGGCCTCGTCGCGCCCCTCCTGGGCCTCGTAGCGCCCCTCCTGGGCCCCGTACCGCCCTCCCAGGCCCCGTCGCGCCCCTCCCAGGCCCAGTCGCGCCCCTCCCAGGCCCTCTAGCGCCCCCCCCTGGGCCCCGTCGCGCTCCTCCCAGGCCCCGTAGCGCCCCGTCGCGCCCCTCCTGGGCCTCGTAGCGCCCCTCCTGGGCCTCGTCGCGCCCCTCCTGGGCTTCGTAGCGCCCCTCCTGGGCCCTGTAACGCCCTCCCAGGCCCCGTCGCGCCCCTCCCAGGCCCCCTAGCGCCCCTCCTGGGCCCCGTCGCGCTCCTCCCAGGCCTCGTAGCGCCCCTCCTGGGCTCTGTCGCGCCCCTCCTGGGCCCCGTCGCGCTCCTTCCAGGCCCCGTAACGCCCCTCCTGGGCTCTGTCGCGCCCCTCCTGGGCTCCGTAGCACCCCTCCTGGGCCCCGTCGCGCCCCTCCTGGGCCCCGTAGCGCCCCTCCTGGGCCCCGTCGCGCCCTCCATGGGCCCTGTAGCGCCCCTCCTGGGCCCCGTCGCGCCCCTCCCAGGCCCCCGTAGCGCCCCTCCTGGGCCGCGTCGTACCCGTCGCCGCCGCCCGGCCCCGTCGTGCCCGCCCGGCGCCGTCGCGCCCGCCCGACCCCGTCGCCGCCGCCCGGCCCCGTCGCGCCCGCCCGGCGCCGTCGCACCCTGCCCGGCCCCGTCGCGCCGCCCGGCCCCGTCGCACCCGCCCGGCCCCGTCGCACCCTGCCCGGCCCCGTCGCAGCCGCCCGGCCCCGTCGCACCAGCCCGGCCGCCGTCCCGCTCGCCCGGCCCCGTCGCACCAGCCCGGCCCTGCCGCACTCGCCCGGCCCCGTCGCCCCAGCCCGGCCCCGTCGCGCCCGCTCGGCCCCGTCGCCCCGTCCCGGCCCTGTCGCACCAGCCCGGCCCCGTCGTGCCCGCCCGGCCCCGTCGGGCCAGCCCCGGCCCCGTCCTCCTCACTGGTACGGTTCCCCCCCCCCCCCCCCCCCCCCCCCCCCCCCCCACCCCGCCCTGCTCCGTGCCGCCCTGCACCGCACTGCACCGCACTGCACCGCACTGCACCGCACTGCACCGCACTGTACCGCACAGTACCGCACTGCACCGCACTGCACCGCACTGTATCACACAGTACCGCACTGCACCGCACTGTATCGCACTGCACCGCACCCCACCTAGCTGCACCGCCCTGCACAGCACTGGACTGTTCCTGATGGCGGCGGAGCTTCGCTTCGACGCTGAAGGTCAGCCCCTAGAGTTCGAGGCGTGGCTTGCCGACCTCCGCCGCCAACTCACTGGCCAGCGGCAGGATGGTGAACCGCTTTCCGCACACCTTGACGGTACGCTCCCCTGCCCTGACCCTCCTGCTATTCTGCCCGCTGACCCCACACCCACTGAGCGTGAGTCTACTGCTGCCACTGCCCGTGCGCGCTCTGTCTGGCTTTCTCGCGATGCTGTCGCCCAGCTTGCCATTAGCAACGCCCTCCCCCCGTCCGAGCGTCCTCGCTTTAGGTCCCTCACTACTGCTCAGGCATACTTAGATGCTGTCATCAAGCGCTATTCCACCCCTCCGGCTGCCTCGGTGGGTCGCCTGATCCTCCCGCTGCTCTTTCCTGACCTTGCTTCGTTCCCCACCGTCTCTGACCTCGCTGCCCACCTGTGCTCGATAGAGGAGACCTGGCGCGCCGCCTGCACTGACGCACAGCTTAGAGCCCACCAGCCGCCCATTACCTCAACCCTCTACCTGCTTGCCACCCACCTCCCTGACCGCCTTGCAGTCGCCCGCGACCGCTTCCTTAGTGTTCACCCCGCAGACCTCACCCTCACTGACTTTGTCGACACCCTGACTGTGATAGAGACCCGTCACCGCTCCATCGCCCAGGCGAGCGGTGTCGTGCCGGTCCCTATCTTTCAGGGTTGTGCCCCCGCTCAGTGTACCTTCTCCGACGGCTCTGCCCCAGTGGCTGAGACTGCTGCTGCAGCGCAGGCCCGTTCTGGGAAGGGCCGCCGCCCCAAGGCTGGGCGCGGCGGAGGGGGCGGCGGGGGTGCGGGCGGGGGTAGTGGTGGGGTCGGGTCGCCTGGTGCTGGAGCGGACGAGGGGACCCTGCCCAGTCCAGCTGAGTCGCCGCCCCTGCAGTTGCAGCAGCCGCAGCAGCCGCCGCAGTCGCAGCCTTCGCAGCAGCTGCAGCAGCCGTCGCAGACGCGGCAGACGAGTGTTCTCCCGCCAGGGTGGCCCGGCGCTGGCGGTGGACGGGCGCGTGGTGGTGTGCCGCGTGGTGGCTCTGCCGGCGGGCGTTGTCAGTACCAGATCTAGACCAGTCCTCGCCGCGGCTTCGTCTGCGGTAAGATCGGTCACTCCACTCCCCGCTGCTTTCGTCGCCTGGACGACCTCTTTCGTCAGCGTTTCGGCCCGTCGCCAGACCTCCCGGACTGGCACAGTTTGCTTAGTCGTCAGATTCAGATCTTTGATATGGACATGGATGCCATTGTTTCTGCTCTGCATGTGATGTATGCTGATGACTCTAGTGTGCTTCCGACTTATTACTCACTGTTGCCTAGTGTAGGTGTGCCTAGCTTAGCCTCCCCTGCTGCGTCAGGCGTAGGATCCCCTGCTTTGTGTAGTCTTGGTGCTTCTGCCATCGTTCCGTCGCCAGACCCCTCGGCTTCGCTTTCCTTCACCTTGGACTCTGGCGCCTCTCGGTGTTTCTTTCGCGACTCCACCACCCTGACGCCGCTTCCTGTTCCTGCTGCCGTTTCTCTTGCTGACCCCTCCGGCGGTCCGGTAGTCGCCCACAGTTCCACCACCCTTCCCTGTCCGGCGGTTCCTTCGGGCTCTCTTACAGGTCTGCATATCCCCTCGTTCTCCAGGAACCTTGTTGGTGTCGGCTGCCTCCAGGACCTTGGCGTCACCACTACGTTCCCTGGTCACGAGCGGTATGCTGTCTGTACCGAGGCCGCCACTGGTGCCCCCCTGTCCACGTTCCCCCAGGACCCGGTGTCCGGCCTGTTCACTCTGGACACCGTGCCCCCCCCGGCTGGAGCGCCCCCTCAGGTGGCTGTGTCTACCCAGGTTGCTGCTGCGTGCTCCTGTCGCTCCCTCACTCACCCGACCCTCCTGTGGCACCACCGCCTAGGTCACCCTGCGCTCCCGCGTCTGCGTCACATGTCCCAGCACGGTCTTGTCCTTGGTCTCCCAGGTTCACTCCCCGCGTTTCCCTCCTCCCCAGCTCCACCTTGCACGCCTTGTGTCGAGGGTCGGCTTCGCCGTGCCCCTCACTCCTCCTCGTTCCCCCCTACCGCCGCGCCGCTGCAGACCCTGCACCTGGACGTCTGGGGCCCCGCCCCCGTCCTTGGGCCGCGTCGCGAGCGCTACTTCCTTGTGCTTGTCGACGACTTCACTCGTTACACCACAGTCTTTCCCCTGGAGCGCAAGGCCGACGTGCCTGGCGCCCTCATCCCCTGGCTTGTCTCTGCGCGTGTCCACCGCGGTCTCCCTGTCTTGCGTCTTCACTCAGACCGTGGTGGCGAGTTTGCCTCAGGTGTCCTTGGTCGCTTTTGTCGTGCGGAGGGCATCACCCAGACGTTCACCCTACCGGACTCCCCACAGCAGAATGGGGTCGCTGAGCGACGCATCGGCTTGGTCATGGAGGTCGCTCGCACCTCCATGGTCCATGCCGGTGCACCCCATTTTCTGTGGCCGTTCGCTGTGCGCTACGCTTCTCACCAGCTTAACCTGTGGCCGCACCCTCAGCAGCCGCAGGTTTCGCCGACCCGTCTTTGGAC